CCTTATGAGCCTTACTTTGTGTTACTCCTCCTTTATTCGGTTCCTTTTTCTTCCCTTCCTCCCCCTTCTCTCGATTCAGAGTTCCTTTTCCCTTTGGGAGCTGCCCCGTAGAGCTCCTGTTTGGATCGGCAATAGTTTGCTGTCTCTCTTGCACCTGAGAAGTTGAGCTCAAGAGCTCTTTATGCATTGGTTTAGAAGACAATGGTCGGTTATCATGCAGCTTGTTCAGGGGCCAGCAGGTGCCACAACCTTCGGTGAACTATTAGGCCTTGTTTTTTCCATATTTGCATGGTCCTGTTCACGTATTTCCTTCACGTACTTTTCCTCCATCTCGTTTTTAATCATTTCCCCGGCCTCAGTCTCCTGTATTACCTCCACCAAACCTTGGAACCTATTTGTGAATTTCTTTTCTTCCACCTTCCTTCCACTCTCCTTTTTCATTGGACCTCGTCCCCTGGGCTTTACCTTCACCCACTCTCCATACGTCTTCCCTTGTGTAGGATCCTCCTTCTCTTATGAATTTGCAACCGGGGTATCCTCCATCTCCATTTCCGTCTCTCTAGGTACACAATGACACCTTCCCGTTGACTTCCCATACGTCCCATAGTTCGTACACATATCCTCTAAGCCCTCGTACTAGACCAAATACTTAACATCCTCTATTCTGAACTAAGATATCAGTGTTTGTGTGAGGTCAACTTCAACGCAAACCCGAGCATATTTTCCTCTAGCCCTGAGCTCCGTCGCTCTGTCCACCCTAACTGCTTTGCCCAAATATCCACCTATCTTCATTGCCACTTCCTTATTGATGAATTCAATTGGAAGTTCGGGGAGTTGAGCCCATACCATCGTTGATGTTACTTCTGTTTTTCATGGGTTAAATCCCTTAAACCAACGATGTACAGTTAGGTACGTATCGCCCAGCATCCAGGGGCCACCCATGGTTGAACATTCATAATCCTTCTGACTTCAAAAGCGAACAAGGAAGCACCCATTCTTCATATCAAATATTTGCAGGTCCCCATGCTTCGCCTAAAGAGATTGGAGGCCACGCGCCAAAGGAATGTATGGAACCCTTCTCCCTAGGCCTTTCACCACTAGTGCAGACCTCCACTCCCTTCACCACCTAATCTTCTCCTCTGCCGTGAGCAGGATCGTTGGACACTTAGGGTCCTCCTTCTCATCATCAAACTCGTCATCTTGCTCCCTCTCCATCCCGGCTACGTCCTCCGAATCGGATTCCGCAATATAGCATGAGTCCTATTGCAAGATGTCACTAAAACTTCTTGCTTTCCTCCCATGCTCGACCGGCTGCTTCGGTCGCTCCCCCTTCTCCGTGTCCATCTCAGTTGCCGTATCAACACCATTATCCCGGCCATCCGCTTCAAAGTTTAGTGACCTAACTCTCTTCTTGGCCTGTACCGATGCTTTCGAACTCTTCCCGTCAGGAGAAGAGGATGCCTCAGCTGGTCTCCTTATCCCGCTAGTGATGTCCGGCGGTTTCTCATGTCTCGTCGGCAGGGCTGACGGCAGATGAGCTGCCATGAAAAACAAGAAACCCTAAGGTCGCGCAAAAAGTCGCTTTTTCTTTTGCTCCGGAAAACTCGGAACTCGTTCGCAGAGTTTTAACCTGCGCCTATATTTGCTTCCAGTATTTGATCGAGGAATCTGTTTCAATAGATTTGAAACATTCGTGATTTGGGTAAAATTTGAGTTTACTAAAATTCTAGATTTATGTTGGATATGTTGGGATCATGGATTAGAAAGAGTCTATTGGATTTTGTTTAATTATATTTTGGATATGATAGATTTTTTTGCCTCCCCCAAATCCCACCTCAAACCATGATGAGATTTGCAAGTTCGTAGACATGGGCGGAGCCAGCCCACTTTGCCCTTGTCCCAGGACAGGGGCAACCTTTCCGGAGGAAAAAAAAACACCTATAAATAAAAATAATGATTTTTGCCACTACAATACAACTCATTACTTGTTCGCTAAATTACAAAAATTAACTAATTTATTGGTTTTGTTCATGATACTATTTGCGACAACAACTTGTTCATGATGAATTATCTTGAGTAATGGTGGAGACAAAAGTGAATCAGTGATATCCGTTAGTTATTTGCTTCTGAATCTAGTTTTGTTTCTACCGGTTGCAACGGTAAGTGTAAAACAAACTTTTAAGCTTAAGTGATAATAAGAACAAGGTTCAAAGTCGAATTGCGGATCAATTTGCTGAATGTTTAGTGAGATACATTGAAAAAGATTTACTTAAGGTTGTAGACAACGAATTTGTTCTTTATCTATGAATGAATCATTTCGGCATTATTAGTTCTAATTATATTTATTAAATATTTATTGTTTATGTATTTGTATTATGAAATGAGCACACTGTAATTTCAAATCATGCCTCTGCCACTGTCCGTTGGGCTCACGAATTTGGAGCCTTCAAATTTATGGAGCTCACAAATTTTACTCGTAAAATTAACTAGCAAACAATGTACATGTACTTTGGGACAAATCCATAATAATTAAATTTGGAATCCAAATCACTCACTAAATCCATGAAGCAAACAATCCCTTGAAGTCCACATAAATTTTTGATCAACAGGCCCGACCATGGGCCTGTGCTGGTCGGGCCGCCAGCACCGCGCCCCATAATTTGAAGGGCCTCCATACAGTGGCGGAGGCAGCATTTCAAACCACCACTGTCCTCTTTCATAACGTAAATATATAAGTGTCTAATAAAAGAATTATTTAATAAAAAATAATTATATCCAAAGAATTCATTCATAAATTAAAAATAATTGATTATACTATCATACTTTTCATAAACAACTACGAATGAATTTCATATAGTGAAAGAAAAGCAAAAACATTCGTTGTCTACACTATTTTATAAGTCTCTTTAAATATATCTTATTAAACAAGTATTAGCAAACTGGTCGCCAAATCGACTTGGAAACTTGTTCTTAATATAACTCAAAGCTGAAAATGCTCTTTTTACACTTGCAGTTGTAATTGGTAGATCAAAACTAGTGGGATTGCCGTTGTCGCTAGACAATTTAAGGGTTGTTGGGGAAAGATCTAATAGGCATAAGGAGAAAAGAGACCCGGTTCGGTGTTTATTGCAATTGGAATTTCGTTTATAGTATAATAAATTAATTTTATGTCAATTTTGGACAAGTAATGAGTTGTGTTGTAGTGACAAAGTACTCTAATAGTACCTATACGTGCTGTGTTCCATCACCAATATAAATATATATGACATATTTTTGTTCCAACATAGAAATTTACGTCTGTCCTGGGACAAGCACAAAAGGACCTACCTCCGCCATTGCCTCCATAGAATACAAAAATGTTAAGCACTAGTTATCAATAAATGGGCTGAATTATAGGCCCCTAATGATATTGCCTTTTTTTTAGTTTTTTTATTTAATCCATATGGGCCACGAAAATACTGCATGGGCCAAAGGTTAAAAAAGAATAAAATTAATAATTCTTAGAAGGACATGACAATGTGGCTCATTTCTTATTAATCCACTCTACCCCTTTTTTCTTTTTCTTTGGCCGAGTCCTCCACTATATTTGTATGCAAACAATTAAAACAAAATCATCCACTAATTGTAAAAAAGGAATTTTCATCAACCATAAAACAAAATCGCCCACCAAGAGTTTTTTCCAATGAAACTTTTCAACCAAATGCTATTTTGAATTCTGTTGTCCTTGTGTCCTGTTTTGCTGTCTTCGTTGGGATTTCCCCTGTGGTTTTGTGTTGTTGCGTTTGAGTAGGAGCGGTCTAGTCCGCTTTTTTCCGCTTTTTTCGCTTCTTTGTGGGATCAATCCTTTTGATCCCCTTTGACTGTATTTTTTCAGGTTTTGTTTTGTTTCCTCTTGCAATATAATTTCATTACCATTATAAAAAAAGTTCATTGATAAATGATATTATTACTTTTATAATCGTTTTTTGAATATTTATATTTTTAGCATTATTTAATAATTTTTATTTTCAATAAATTTGCAAAAAAATATTTTTACGGTCAAATTTTGAATTTTCGAATGGGGCCTCCAAATATTATGGGTCGGCCCTGCTAATCAATCCAGTAATAGTTTAATTGCAAATCTCAATAATTGTTCTTATCCACTAATAGTTTAATATATATATATATATATATATATATATATATATATATTCAATGAAATTAGTATACTAATATAGATTATACAATTAAATGAAGCCAACCATTAAAAGAAATTTTGTTGTTTCTCGATATTTCGGTATATACCGATCCAAATCTTGTAATCCCGAATACCGAATAACACTAAAATATGAATTTCAATCCCTAAAAATAAAGCGATATTCGATAACCAAATAGTCCTAAATTTGGTACGGTATTCGATATCCCAGCCCTAGGCTACGTGTCAATCGGGCTAAGATCGGTTTGAGTATGTCAGCTCTCGTAGGATCTCGGCCCAGTTACAGGGAAAGACAAGAAAACCCAGTTTCAGCTCATTACTAGACCCTACCCAGAAAGTTTCCAATTGGGCCAATGATGGCCCGAACAAGAATATTCCGGCCCGTCTTCTTTCCCTGCTGCAAGCGATGTGTGGCAAGGTTGTCAAACCAGTTTGTGCCGGTTCATGCCGGTTAATATTACAAATAAAATTATAAATACTCATATTTAAACATAACATTTAATGTCAATATAAACATTTATACTTGAATCCAACAAATAACATCAATATTTAACTTTTATACTCATAAAATAAATAATAAAATAATTTTTATCAATTAAATTCACTAAAATAAGGTCATTTTACTTAGATATTCGTATATCGATCATGCCGATCATACTAGTATTGTCACGCCGGTTTTATGACTGGTATTGGTTGAACCAGTTACAACCGTTGTCAACCATACTGTCATGTACTCATGTTCAACGGATAACAAAACCAAGTATTGTAGAAGAAGAACAGACAATTAACTGATTAAGTAGCAAAAATGGCAGCCGCATCGGGTTTGCAACCAAGGCTTCTCTCCTCCTTGGCCGGCGACCGTCTTCTCCCTTCCAGACTCCCCATCCTTCATCTCTTCGGCTATAAAACAGGTCCTTCTAGAGTTCTTCTCCGTCTATCTGTTTCAATTCCCGCGTGAACTTCAGTCAAAGAAAAGTTACTCGCGAACTCATAATTACTGCTAGCTCGGAGCTATGTTCTTACAGAAATGGTTTATACATTTTCGTTTGAATTTCTGGAGCTAGCTGTTTCTCTCGCTATAGACTTTAACTTGTCCTGTTTGCCATGAATTTTTCTATCTTTCCATTGTCACAGACTAAGCGAATTGTTTCTGTCCGGAGCTTCGGCTCTACGACTTCATATGCTGATTACTTGAATGGGTTTGTGTGCAATTTGTCGAACAGGAGGTGGGCATCATGTGTCAATGCGATTCTCCAGGGCGCTTTCTGGATTAACCAACCTTGTATTCAATAGAAGGTACGCTTTGGAAGAGTTGATAATCCGTAGTTGCATTCCTGTTTGGCATTAGATGCAGTTCTAGTGGCTGTAAATTTCTGTTACGAAAATATTTCTAAGTGGTCCTGTTGCCGAGCTGATTGTTGGGTACTGGGCTGATGAAAAAGGGTATAGATTACTGGGTCAGAAGGAATTCAATTGGAATGGCTTGGGGTGACAAAGAATCACACTTGTTTCTATAGATTTGCTTGAAGTTCTTCCGATGTGTGCATATGCCTTGTCGGCTGTCGCCCAAGGTCGTTCTAACTAAACTCGTCCACTGATCAACCCAGATTTTTATCGCTTTTGCATCCAACGATAAGTACAACATGATCCTTGTGGTTGTGTATCCCAGGATCCAGACTGTTCATAAATCTTTCCGTAAAACTGTATGCCCCTTTTTTTCTTCTTTTTTGCGGTGACATATGTCAATTTGGAATGATTAGAATTGTAGAAGAAGTACCAAACGCCAAGAGGAAACGTCTACTCCCGGGGAAACTCTCTCCCCGTCGACCTGTCCCTGATAATATTTTGAAGCCTCCTTATGTCGACTCTCGGCAGTCTCCTGGAATCTCGAGCGGAGCTGAAGTGCATGATGAAATGGGGATAGATTGCATGAGAGCTTCTGGAAGACTTGCAGCACAAGTGCTTCAGTATGCTGGGACTCTAGTAAAGGTAATATGACCACATTGTTCGGTTTTCTGAAACGGTAGAGGCTGAAGAACAGAGGTACTGTATGTGTCTTCAATAGTTCGAGATGCAGAACTTCATCTTAGTTTGACGACCATTGATTCTTTTGGCAGCCAGGTGTAAAGACTGATGAAATTGATGAAGCAGTGCACCAGATGATAATTGAAAATGGTGCATATCCGTCGCCTCTAGGATATGGTGGATTTCCAAAGAGTGTGTGCACGTCGGTTAATGAGTGCATTTGCCATGGCATACCAGACTCTCGTGAGCTAGAGGTGCTTCTGGTTTCGATGTCTTATGCACTACTAAACTTTTATGATGTATAGCTCGAAGTTATACCCTACTTAAGCTTATTTGTTTCTTGCACTTTTGCAGGATGGTGATATAATCAACATTGATGTCACAGTTTACTTAAATGTAAGAACTTTTGCACGAACATTTTCTTCTTGCATACTCATTTCCAGAAGGATATGGAAATTTGTGACTGAGCTCCCTTTCATTCTATGGTTGCAATCCCCTTTCACAAGTTTGGGGTCCATTGTTTGGATGTAACTTGATATTATATGCAGGGTTATCATGGTGATACATCAGCAACTTTCTTTTGTGGAGATGTTAGCGATAGTGCCAGAAAGCTTGTTCAGGTAACCTTTTTTTAGTGCTAACTCTGTAGATTAGTTACAATGCATTTGCATACTAATTGGAAGTTTTGCATCCTTGTGCTCTAGAATTCAAAGGATAAATGACTTGTCAATGCAGGATTTTTGTCTTTTTCTGTCTGTTCTAACTATGATTCTATGTTTTTGCTTCACTCTATGTGACCCTCTGCTTACTATCCTTCAGGTAACCAAAGAATGTCTGGATAAAGCAATCTCGATTTGTGCACCAAGGGTGGAGTTGAAGAAAATTGGCAAGACTATACAGTAAGAATGCTCACTTTAGTACTTTGTTCATTCTTCGCTCTCTCATTAGTTAATTTGAGCAGAAATGTGTGGAAGATAGCATTGTTTTAGCAACTAGAGCTCATCTGAATTGGCCAGTTCAATGTGGCATGTTATCATGCGGACAGCAATACTTTCTCTTGAATATTTGTTATGTTGCTTAGTCCAGTGTCTTGTGAACAGTACTTACTTGTATTTAAACTTTATGATGAAATCACTGACACGTTTCCTAATTCTTCAGTTCATCCCTGAGACGGCCCAGTACATCCATCACTTGGAATTGATATGCCTTAATTGCTTACTAAATCGTAGTTTATATGCTCTTTCCAAGTGATCATGCAGATAGACATCGGTACGGTGTTGTTAGGACCTTTGTTGGCCACGGTGTTGGACGTGTTTTCCATGCTGATCCAGTTGTACTTCACTACAGTAAGGGCCCTTTGCCATTCAGTTTGTTTGTTACTAGTTTAACTCCCCCATCTCCGTAGCAAATCATGCTATATATATATATATGTGTTGATTGATGGGTTCCTTTATTTCACTTTTTTCCCATTTCATCTAGATGGTGATACTAACAATCAGACCGATGTTTTCAGGGAACAGGGAGGGTGGACGCATGAAGTTGAATCAAACCTTTACAATCGGTACTATTATCTTAACCCAAGATCCGGCTTCCTTGACAAGTTCTTATGTGCTCCTTCTGTGTTCTTTATTTATTGTGAAAATATGTGCTCCTTTTCTGCAAACAAATATCAGTTGAAACTTTTAGGAACTCCGCATATTCCAGTTCTGTGATCTGTTCTCATGTACGTCGTTTCTTTGTCTTGTATATGTACTGCAGAGCCCATGCTGACAATGGGCAGCATTAATCCGGTGATGTGGGACGATGACTGGACGGTGGTGACCGAAGATGGAAGCCTGTCAGCTCAGTTTGAACACACCATTCTCATTACTGAAGGTGGAGCTGAGATACTGACACAATGCTAATGACAAACTAGCAGAATAATATGTGTTGGGCCAAAATGCTTTCCAGAGCATGCATTCTGATTCTTTGTACGTCGTAGAAGGTATATTTGGTTGATTGGAATGAAGTATTTTAAGCAAATATTAATTTTTCGTATGAAGTATTAATATAACATATTGAATCCACAGTATCAAAACGTTGAGATGGCCGAGTTGGTCTAAGGCGCCAGATTAAGGTTCTGGTCCGAAAGGGTGTGGGTTCAAATCCCACTCTCAACAATTAATTATTTTTCTCTTCTTTTCTTTACTTTTTCCAGTCGATACTGAGAATTTAGATTTGAAGCAACCATCGTCTTTGCGCTTCTACTGTATCTTTGTGGGAGTGAATCCTACAAAGCCTTTTGATGGCAAGCGAGGCCCTGACGAGCCACCGCTAATGCAACTATTGCAATAGGCGTTGCAACCCTGATGTCGATGTAGTTGCGGTCACTGCTCCTCCACCAGCAAGGTGTCCTCCATTCTCAACACCACTCTCAACAATTAATTTTTTTTTTCTCTTCTTTTCTTTACTTTTTCCAGTCGATACTGAGGAATTTAGATTTGAAGCAACCATCGTCTTTGCGCTTCTACTGTATCTTTGTGGGAGTGAATCCTACAAAGCCTTTTGATGGCAAGCGAGGCCCTGTCGAGCCACCGCTAATGCAACTATTGCAATAGGCGTTGCGACCCTGATGTCGATGTAGTTGCGGTCACTGCTCCTCCACCAGCAAGGTGTCCTCCACTCAATCCACCTGCCGCCTTTTGGAAACGTCATGTCACTGCTCCTGCACTCGCTTGCCTTCAAATGGCTTTGTATGATTCACTCTCACAAAGATAGAGTAGAAGCACAAAGACGACGGTTGCTTCAAATCTAAATTCCTCTACGAATTGATATTAAACTTGCTGGTAGGAAGGATGAGGAGTTGGCTAGCTGGAGGAGCATTACATGTCGTTTCCAAAAGGGGGCAGGTGGATCGAGTGGAGGACACCTTGCTGGTGGAGGAGCAGTGACGGCATTCGGCAACTACAGTGACATCAGGGTCGCGGAGCCTACTGCAGCAGTTGCATTAGCGGTGGCTCGCCAGGGTCTCGCTTGCCATCAAATGGCTTTGTATGATTCACTCCCACAAAGATAGAGTAGAAGCGCAAAGACGATGGTTGCTTCAAATTTAAATTCCTCTGTATCGACTGAAAAAAGTAACGAAAAGAGAATAAAAAATCAATTGTTGAGAGTGGGATTTGAACCCACGCCCTTTCGGACCAGAACCTTAATCTGGCGCCTTAGACAAACTCGGCCATCTCAACATTTTAAAAAATAATTATTTTAAAAATAAATAAACATATAAATAATCGTAAAATTATCAATTTAATTCATTAAATACGAATATTAAACGTGTTATACGGGTTGTATACGTGTTTAGTACGGGATCCATCAAATGAACGGGAAAAACGAAATGTCTTGACAATAATACAAATACGGAAGATTTAAACGGATAAAGTACGTACGGTACATATATGTGTATTAAACGGAGTATTTTTTTTAAACAGAGTATTTACTAACTATGCTCCTCTTTAAAAAATTATATTTAATAAAAATAAAATAAGAAAATACCTTACTCGTACAAGTTGAAAAAATCTACAATGTGTTTTCATATTCGGAAATAGTTTTTCAATACACTTGGTCTCTCTAATGCTCAAAACAATTGTCTCTGTATATTCTATTAGACAATTATTCACGAACTGATCGAATATTCAATTTATAAACTTGTTTTTTATATAACCTAAAGTTGAAAAGACTCTTTCAACACTAGTCATACAACCATAAAATCCGTACAAATTATGGGTAGCTTGAAATTAGTTTAATTGTTAGGTTTTGCAAAATAATTATAGATAGGGAATACCATTTTACTATTACGAAGTGTTTAAATTTGAACAACAAACGAATTCTAGCCTAATGGAAATTATGTTTATTAATAATAATAATGTCCTATGTTTGAATTACCTATACTCAAGTTTCAAAAAGGCGCTAGGCGTAAGGCAAGTGTCGAGGCTTTGCCTAGCGCCTTGCTCGCCTAGGCGTAGACTAAGCGTGCCTAGACGTTGGAAGAAAAATAGACATTCACACTGCATGATGAATGAAATAATAATCTAAAACACTTCCTCACTTTAGTTAAAATGATTAATAACTTACTCAACACTTAATGACAATACATAGCTCACAAATTCATAGAATCATAGCTCAATGGCTCACAAAGTTTTTGAGCTATTGAAAAAATTGATATAGAAAAATTGATTTCGTAGTGGATGTTAATTTTCTCCTTTAATATTGACTTCCTAGCTCCATCAAGTAATGTTTAGGAGAGACTTATATGTCGTCTTACTCCATTGACGTGTTCTAGTATATAATTTGGCGCGAAACCCCTAGGCAACGCGTTTTGTCAATGCCTTGCACCTAAGTGTGCCTAAGCGTAAGGTTAAGCGTGCCTTTTTGAACCATGCCTAAACTACCACTTACATTCACATACGCAAACTAAAATATGAGACTAGCATAATTGTTTATTCAAATTTCTAGGGTGTCCTCCACTATCAATTATAATTTTTTTGTCCATACATAAATTACCACTAGGGGTTGGATAATCGTTTCCCCAAAATTTAGGGGTGTCCCGGGACACCGCCAAATTCCCTTGGGCCCGCCCCTGAGTGGAGAATTAGGGATTTGAAGAAATTAGGGGTTTGAGTAGAAGAATTGAGAATTACTAGGGAGTGGAGGAAGAAGAGGAATTAATGGTGGAAAATGCATTTGTACCCCTCCATAAACATTTGTACCATTATATCGATTTAGCTAGTGATATGATTCGACCAGTGATACAACCGGTTTATGGCAGTTTATGCTGGTTTTAGCAAAACATGTAGGAAAATGGAAGATCATTAACATTAAATGAAGGGTTAATATTTTCGTATGGTCTGAACTTTGACCAAAATAAACATCTTGTCCAATCTTTTCGATCTATAACATCCTGGCCCGAACTATACACCAAAATAAACAATTTGGCCAAACCCGATGTTTGGCCGTTAACTTGGACGGTCAAACGCATTGACTAACGGTCAACGCGCCATGTCACTACCACGTCACTGCCAAGTCAGAAGATCTGATAAATATTTAAATTTTTTCGTTTTTATTTTTGGTTTAACTAAGGTATTTAGATGGTTTTTTTAATTTATAATAATTTAAAATTAGGGAATGTGTGAAAATTGTGAATTATTTTAAATATTTTATGCTGACTTGGCAGTGACATGGCGCGTTGACTAACGGTCAGCGCGTTTGACTAACGGTCAACGTGTTTGACCGTCCAAGTTAACGGTCAAAAGTCGGATCTGGCCAAATTATTTATTTTTGTGTATAGTTCGGGCCTGGATGTTATAGATCAAAAAGATTGGCCAGGATGTTTATTTTGGTCAAAGTTCAGGCCATACGAAAATATTAACCCTTAAATGAATATTATGTAAGATCAATTTGATTAGAAACAATAATCAACGGTCATGATTCATCGAAATATATGCAACAAATTACATGCACCATTTTGGGGTTTAAGGTCTATGATTTAGATAACTAAGACCTAGGGTTCACTCATAAAGGGTTAGGGTATAGTATCATACGTCAAAATCCGGTCAATTTAAAGTCTAGTTTTCATGCTCAATATACGATAGAAGGCAATATATATATATATATATATATATAGAAGGGACTAGCGTACGACATGCAAGGACGGAGGGAGAGGGTTAAAGGGTGTATCCCGGGACCCTCCTTGGCTCCGGAGGAAAAATGGTAAATTAGATATAATTGTTAATCGGGTATGAAAATAATACGTATTTAAATGAGAATGATTGACCTTTTTAAATATTCGATGTATGTTTAATAAGTAGTGTATTAGCATATTTAATGTTTTTATAACCAGTTATATACAGATGACAATTGTGCATATTATCTGCCTAAAATTAAAGATGTACTTATCAATATCTACAACAAATTTCTACCAAATCATAACTTATTTGTACAAAAAAAAAATTATTTCAATTAGGGGCAGGGAGAGTGTAGCAGGGCTCCTAGTGACAAACATGAGTAAATTAGTATAATAGTTAATTAAGAATGAAATTTAGAGCATTTCTAATTGATAATGGTTGACCGAGAGATGATGTGTTCGAATCTTGGCGACTCCATTTGTTAAGCACATGATATTTGAACTTGCGAAAACTGTAAGCACTTAAAAGTTGGTTTTTGTTAGTGGGGAAGTGTTAGTAAATACTAAATAGTATTTGATCTATTATAAAAAAAATTCCCAACAACTCAAGTTATTGATAATAAACAGACTTTGACAATTTACACCATTCAATTTATCAAGTTTTTGTAAATACATTTAATTTATTAAGTTTTTGTAAATACAAAATTATATCATGAATGTTTTAAAAAGCTAACAAAACTATTTTATCATATGTATTTTTTTCTAGGATAATATCTATTTTTTGTCCAAACCTTTTTTAGATTCTCTTATATTATCCAAACCTATTAAAATTCTATTAATTATCCAAATATTTCATAATGTATCAAAATATTAGCCATTTTTAAGTTATCGTTAATAATTTTGTAACTCTTCTTAGTTAAAATACTTAAATCTTGGAATGTTGCCTTCACGAGTCTCTTCCAAGTCAGTATCATGTTTTTTTAACCAAAGCTAGCTTGCATTACCAAGAGAAAAATAGATCGAAACGTTTACATCTCCGAGCGGAGCCAAGCGGAAAAATCAAAACCTAGCACAACAACTGCCTGAATGCCCTGATTTCTTGAAGAAGTGCTCCCCCTTGTGCATCCCTCACTTCACGAGCATTCACCTTATAAATGATAACCTTTGCATCCCCCAACACCAGCATCCCATCCTAGCCCTGAATCACGCACCAATAAATAGCCTCATGAAGCGCAATCAACTCCACCAAGCTTAGATCAAACGCTCCATCCAAGTGTCCCCCTCTAGCCAGAACGACTGCCCTAGATGCATCACGGATGACTATTCCAAAGGCCGCATGAGACTGACCACACACCGCCCCATCAAACGAGCACGTTAACCCGCTTTCAACATACTCTTCCCCCACCACATCCTGACAGCTTGAAACCGGATCCACCCGAACGAGCACCCCTCCCTGAAGCCACTCCTGAATTTGGAATGTTAGCTGTTGCCGAAGCATCGCAAAGTGCACCTGCTTTAACTCAAACACCACCCAATTCCGGGCTTTCCAGATGCGCCATAACACCGCCACTATCGTGCACACCCGTTCCGGAGAGGGCTCATGTTCAAGCATCCGCCGCAGCAAAATAACAAAATTAGACTCATCAAGTCTTGCTGCCAAACCTCGGATCCCTGCCGCATCCCACAACATCTTGGAAACCGGACACTTAAAGAAAATATGGTCCAAGGATTCATCTTCCAACCAACACACCGGGCATCTACCATCCACCATAACATCCTTCTCTCTTAAGGCCTCAGTAGTCGGTAAAATCCGGCTAAAGATCTGCCACAGAAAGAACTTAAGCTTTGGTTGAATTTGAGAAGCCCAAATTGACACCCAAAGCTTCGTGTCCATCCGACTAACATCCTCCTTCCAATTCCCCCGACTCCGCCTATGCCGAAAAGCCAAGTGATAACCGGATTTAACGGTGTAACACCCTGATGGATCTTCCTTCCAGACAAGCTTATCCCCCACCTCTAGTCGAGGAAGAGGAATTTCCTTAAGCCGCTAGACCCACTAACGAGGGAAGAAAGCCACCAAGCAGCCTCCCCAGAATTTATCAAAGCAGACACCTTCTCCTGCCCCGATATTGGTGCCAGGGGTAGTAACGAAAGAGCCTGCCTCCCAACACCTGGGACCCATTATTCAGATCTTATTGCGATCCCCTCCCTAGTGCCCACCTGTCAGAGAATGCCTTGTTTAAGCAAAGCACACCCATGGAGGACACTCCGCCAACCCCAAGATGGCCTAGAGCGAGGCCTCGCCGTGAGTAAGGACCCATTCGGGAAATATTTCCCCTTGAAAATCCTAGCCAACAACGAGCCAGGTTCTTCAAGTATCTGCCATCCCACCTTGGCCAACAGAGCTTGATTAAACTCCTCAAATCGGCAAAATCCCAAACCTCCCTAATGCTTACTTCGGCAAAGTTTATGCCAGGACATCCAGTGAGTCCGCAAAGACCCATCCCTTGTCCCCCACCAAAATCGAGCCATCAACCGGTCCAACCGACGACACAAGGTTTTCGGTAGTAGGAAACAATACATGACGTGTACAGGCAGAGCCATGGCCGCCGCTTTCAAGAGAGTCTCTTTAGCCGCTGAGGACAGGTGCCGCTGTTTCCATCCTTGTAACCGTGCCAGTTGATAGACCGTTATTTACACATGTTTTTACCCTTGTTCTTACACCGTTTGAGATGTGATTTCTCGTGTTTTAGGCCGATTTCACGCTAGGTTGTGCTTGTTTGTCATATTTCAGGTCCTAGTACGTGAATGGAGGCTTAGGAGCGAGTCTGGGGTCGATTGGACGAGGATCGGACGCATGGCGAGGTTCTGAGGAAGTCGCACGGGCACACCCACAACCCGCACGGCCGTGCAAGTGACCAGTTTGGCCGTGCGAGTTGGCTGAGGTTCAACTAATTGATACGCCGCGTTTTGAGGTGCACGGCCAGAATGGTGATGTGCACGGCCGTGCACCCTGGCCGTGCGAGTCGGGAATGGCTGTTTTTAACCCAAATTCGAGCCAAAGGAGAGGGAGAGCTGGGTTTTTGGATCCCAAACACCCAAGGGACGAACCCTAGAGAGAGAGAGCGACTTGGGAACATTCTTGGAGCTATTTTGGAGGATTTCTTCGCCATTGGAGCTCGGGAATCAAGCTTGGAGATGGAGATTGAAGATCTAGATCAGATTTCTGCAGTCTCTCTCTTCTCTATGGAGTAACTTCCCTTCACTTAGGTTTTGAGGAACCCTAGTTCCATGAGTTAGGAGCTTGCTTGTATGAAGTTTTGGATGCTATGTTGTTTGATTATAATCGAATGATGCATGTTTATTGAGTCAATTGAAGTCTGATCAACTTTTCCTGATTCCTGCTGCAATCTCAGATAGATAGAATCTGATTAGGTTGCTAGAGTCTCATCATTCGGTAGTAGGAGATTGGCTATACGAGAGTTAGCCAGTTTACTGCTTTGTACTGGAATCCAATTCCAGTAGTGGAGTTCTGTGCTTATTGCTTCAGCTTTCTATCCCGGTGAAGACTAGTCGTCTGCCGGATAGTTAGACTGAGAGGGCTTGGTCAGCTTAAGAGATTCCAAGCTACTTTCGGATCTTCCGCAGTTTAATCAACAGTAAAACAACCAAAATGAATTACAACTTGGACCTAATTGAGGAGCTAGGGGGAATCATACCTAAGTGAGTTCCCAAACTGTAATTAGTAGTTTTACTTAGTTTAGTTAGTAGAGTAGTTTAGTTAATCAATCCTTAATCTAGTTTGCTAGATAATGAACTGAAGCTGAGTAATAGTAACTCTAGAGACCTGTGGATTCGATATTTATTACTTGTGCCACTATACTGCAGTCCCTTTCATTGGTTACACTTGGCCATTGTTAGGTGTTGTGTTTTGGAGCATCACCAGTAAAGTTTCTTCCACAAGCCGGAAAGTCTCAGCCTTCGACCTAGCAATTAAGGTTGGTAGACCCAAGTATTTACTTGTACCCCTACCGCCCCCACGCCCAGCCTAGCAGCCATCGCAGCACAATCTGGTTCCAAAATGTTATGGCTGAAGCAAACTGCCGATTTTGCAAGATGTACCCGCTGTCCACTCAGTGTCTCGTACTCCTGGAGGACCGCCAAGAGAGAATCACACTCCTGAAGTGAACCCCGCAGAAACAAATACGAGTCATCCGCAAAAAATAAATGGGAAACTGACGGCGCCTTGGGACTCACCCGCACACCAGCCAACCGCCCCTCCGCCACTGCTTTGTTAATAAGAGCCGAAAAGCCTTCCGTACATATTACAAAAAGCAGTAGAGACAGAGGATCCCCTTGCCGTAAACCCGGGATGAACAGAAATACCCCGAGGGAGCACCGTTCATCATAACGGAGAAAGAGGCCGAGGAGAGACATTCCCTCACCCACTCGATCCACACCGAGCTAAACCCCAACCGTTCTAAGACCGTAAATAAGAAAGACCATTCAACTCTATCATAGGCCTTTTCCATATCAACCTTCAGAGCCATAGTCTTTCTTACCTTTGGTCTTAATGTTTAGGTAATGCATCAGCTCATTACCAATAAGCACATTATCTACAATTTGGTGTTCTCTGATAAACGCATTCTGCCCTTCCGACACAATACTCGGTAAATGAGTAGCTAACCGTTCTGTCATAACTTTGTTGATCATCTTATACACAAACTGGCTTAAACTAATCGGCCGAAGCTGGAAAACGTGCTCCACATCCTCCACCTTAGGAATCATTGTGAGCCATGTATGATTAAAGCTCTGCAAAATACTCCCATTCTGAAAAAAATGAGCATACAACTTCAATCACCGAAGGACCCACAATATCCCAACACACCCTGTAAAACTTCCATGTGAAGCCATCCGACCCTGGAGCCTGCTTCGCTCCCATTGGGAACACTTTCCGGCGGATTTCCTCCAAAGTGACCTCTTCTACCAGTTCGTCATTCATACTCTCTGAAACCGGCTGAGGGATGGGTAAGGCCGCTACACGTGTAGCCATATCCTCCACCGAATCATCTAACGTGAACAGATGCCTATAGAACCCAACGGCTAAATCCTCCTTGTCCTTCTCCTCTGTCGCCCACTCGCCATCAGAATTCTGCGATTTTTCCAAGAAATTCTTTTTCCGCCTAGTCCGGGTTACAACATGGAAGTACGAGGAATTCCGCTCCCCAACCTTGAGCCATCTAACCCGCGACTTTTGCTGCCAAAAAATTTTCTCTGCTTCCCATTGCTTAGCCAACTCCACCTCCAAACCCTGTATTCTATCCCAATCCACTAGGGCCATAGCCCGAAATTCATCAATCTCAGTTTGCAAAGTTCTAATTTCCCTCGCCGAATTCGTCGTGCCGGCCCGACTCCAGTCGTAAAGGAGGTGGCGAAGCTTTTTAAGCCACTGCCACAGCCTATACATTGGGGAAACCCGTTCCTCCTAGTTCCAGACGTACTGGAAAAACAATCGCACCTCCAGATTCTCCGCCCAACGGGTGTCGAAACGAAAGAGCGGGCTACTACTCCTCACAAACGGTTTATCCGCCACTAAGATCCCCCTGTGATCCGACCCTTGATCGGTACAATGCTTCAACAAAGAAGCCGGGAAAGCATCCATCCAGAGTGGAGACCCTAGGGCTCTATCAAGACGTTCCATCACGCAGGCATCTCCCATTCGTTTGTTGGTCAACGTGAAAGGACACCCCTAGTACCCTAGGTCCTGCAAACCCAAGTTATCCACAAAACATCGCAAGTCCTCTGACTGCGCCGGATACCAGGCATTACCTCCCATTTTTTCATTGTAGTTCATAACGGAATTAAAGTCACCTATCATAATATAAGGATTTGTCAACGCCGAACAAAAATCTTGCAATCTTATCAATTGGGCTCGACGCACCGCAGCCAGACAACTAATGTACACACACCACAACATACTGCAAACCATTTTTATTAATAGTAACCGAAATAAAGAAAGACGCATTACAACTGACTGAGACACTAACATTCGTGGACCAGCCCACAGCTAAACCCCCAGAAGAATTAACAGCATCAACTAAAAAAGACGACTCCGACGAGAAACCTAAGCGTCTCATACGACGCACTACGACACGACGACGAGATCTCATTTCCGACAAAAAAACCAAATATGGATTATTAGACCGAACAAGACCAACCAGTGACTGGAGCGTGAGAGTGGTCCCTATACCTCTCACGTTCCAGGACAAAATCCTCATTTGGGCGATTGGGGCCATTTCGAGCTGGCTACCTCCACCGCTGCATCAACACCACCACCTGAGTCTTGGACACAAACCTTTTTCACCAGCGTCGGATCCAATGAGAAGTTTTCAACTTCCGCCGCCACCCGTTTTTTCTCATCACCCATCTCCATTTCTGGAGCCTTCATACGAAACACCTCCGACAGGTTTGTGCCATATTCATCAAGCTTAAGACTCATCGTTGCCTTTTTCAACAAATCTGTGGTTGAGACCACCATTTTCTCCATTAGCGATCCATCTCTCGCGCCCTCTTGCTGCTGAACTGTCTTGTTTTCCACTCGAGGAGAGCCCTCCTTTTCTCCGCCAGCTGCCCCATCAATTTTCCCTTTAGCCAGCCTCATCCCCACCTTGGGTGCCACCACAAGACTTGGTTCCCTCTCATCAGACATCCCGTTCATCTTCACCTGCTGCTTAGTGTTGTTGCTGGCGCCGCCCTTTGCCTCCTTCTGCTTGCCACCCACTTCTTTCCCCTCTATCCTTACATCCTCACCCGCCACCAGTACCTGTCCGCCCGGCTTCGAAGAACTAGTAGGTGCCCTTCCCCCTTTGCTAGTGGAAGCTATAACATCCTCCTTCCCCTTACCTCCACTAGTGCGACGACCCCCCGTCTCACCTTTCGATCCATCCGCTCCACCCTTGCTCTTCCCAGCCGAGATACCCACCACTAGTGGCTTCGAAGCCACCGCTACCGCCTTTCCTTTCCCCTTTGCAATGTCCTTCTTATCCTTCGCAACACCCTCCATGTTTGGATTTATCCAAACCGAGTTCAGTAGTGATGGTGGACCAAAGCGGGGTGCCTCCGTGTTTAGACGATAACTAAGAACATCCGTAGACATTCTAGGCCCGTAATCTTCATCTCCTTCCGAGTCCGAGAAACCACAGTTCTTCTCAAGGTGCCCAAGCCACCCACAATGATAGCAAAGTAGCGGGAGGTATTCATAGGTAAGACCCAGAACTCCCCTGCCACCTCGTTCCTTGCATAGAGCTTCGATCGCAGCGGCGGTAAGACATTCAGTTTTAGACTTGTCTTGACAAAAGTCCCCGCCTCACCACGAATTCCAAACAGACCTGCGTCCAGTACTTCCCCGATCTTTGCTTCTGCCATAGTCCTTCCAAATGACAGCGTTCGGCAATGTGAGGGGATTCCCCACATCTGCACCCAGAATGGCGCAAAAGTCAGTGAATTCACCACCGTATCCGTGACTGGTTCCCACCTTTGGAGCTGAAGCACACGATCCTTGACGGGCCAAGGGGTACGTTGTAGAACCCACTGCAGGTCCTCCTCCTCATCAAACAGGACCTGGAGCAGCCTGCCTTCAGCCTCCATGATAGCCACATTCTTGGAACAAGTCCAAGCGCCCTGCACAATTTGCAGGATGACCGAGAGGCTCGACCGAGATTCCATAAACAAGCGGCCAAGTAAACTAGATTTTGCACGTCGCATACAGGTATCGACGTCCTCTGTTGGGAAGTCCACAATTTGGTCTTCATGGACCGGTTTCAGGCTTGCTCCCTTCTTTGAGCTTCCTTTCTTCGATTTCAGCAATGAAGATGCCATGACTACTCCCTACAGAACCTGATCCCTGTTGATCAAATACACCAAACAAGAGTCGGACAACTCATCCCAACATTCCCTGCCCAAGATGACAGTTTAATAACCAACAGTGTGAGCCAAGCCCAAAAACCCCGACTCGTCATCATAACCTTCGCAGACATATCTCGCACACCACCCCGGCAAATCAAACTATAATTCACAAATTCCCTCAAGAATCCCATACCTGGATACTGAGTTTCGTTAGCTTCAGGACTGTTCTCCCAATTCTTCTTCCAATCACTTTCTTTGATGTTAGGCACTGTAGTGGAGTAATGATTTTGGTTAAACGCTGTTGTGGTTAAATACACCCATTGGGGAGCCAACCGTAGCACCATCTCATAAACAGACTCCTGATTTGAGTCGATCTTCCTGGGTTTGCGCACACGGAGGTATCCCTCTAGGAGTCCTTATCCGCGTGGAACCCTTGTACCGCCGAATCTCATCGACGCTTCAGAATTCCGCAGTAGCTGGGTATCGTTTTTCCCTTCCCAAAACCAATTTCTTTTTTCTTTTTCAATATTTCCTTTTTCATTTCCTATATTTTCTTTTTTTCTATTTTTTGTCCCACCTCTGCCGGTACCTGGCACGTCGGTGATGGAGGGTTTCTTCCGCTTCCGCCTTCTCCCCGCACACCACCTGCGGTTGGCAATCGATTGCTTTAATTGACCGGCCCTCCAATCGCAGATTCTTTCACATTCCCCATTGGGATTCCACTATCGCTCCAAATCGCAATCTCCAATTAAACCCCTAAAAGCCCGACGGGATACAGATCCGAACCACCCATCCAGCCGTCTAACCGGCGTCGCTCGCTCTCTGGTCGCATCCCTCGCAGACCAGTAGAGTAGATTGGAAAGCTAAGGACCATGATACAACAACCATCGATGAGGAGAGAGGACAGAGCGCTCTCTACCATTTTTTTTTCCAAAGAATTCACTCACTAGGATATTAATTTCATCTAGTCGGTATCATGTTGCTAAGTCAATATTATTAACAAAATTGCTAACAGGAAGTTAGCATTTGGCTAATTTTTGGTATTTAGATAGGTTTGGATAATATAAAAAGAATCTGAAAAAATTTTGGATAAAAAATAGGCATTACCCGTTTTTCTAAATGGACCCACCCTCGACAAATCCTGGCTATGCCCCTGACACCAGGCGTACGCTATACACCTGCGTTCACACATATAATTTGAGATTAAATAAATCTTATGGTTTGGTTAGAAAATTGGGGTTGGGGTTCACCCATTAGAGGTTAGGGTATTGTATCATGCCCCAAACTCTGGCTAATTCAGGATCTAAATAACAAAAATGGACGGGGTCCGTTAAGGTAAGCGTACGTCAGACGTACGCTAGTCTGAAATGAAAATCAACGGTTTTGGTTCATCATAATTATTAAAGTATAAATAATAGGTGTGAACACAGGTGTATAGTGTGCTCCAGACGTACGCTAGCATTTGTCATATATATAGCATATTTGAAGGCAGTCTCTCTAAAAACTACATCCATATTTAAATAAAATACAACATTCCAAACAATTTCTCATATATAAATACAACATCTAAAATTTTATATTTTTTTTTTATAATGGTGAGATTAAAAAATGGAAACCAAAAAAACAAAGAGTAAACAAATGAAAGGAAAGCAAAAACAACAAAACCAGATCAAAAGACTTGATCCCCAGATGAGTAAGAAAGAAAACAAAAAGGCGAAGGTAGCTGTTTGGAGGACCAAACCCCCTCTACATCCAAAAGGGTCCAGGCACAAAGCCCCAGCACAAAAATCAAAAATTAAAGAGCTAAACAAAAACAAGAACCATGGGAGCAGACACAGAAACCTATCCACCCATTAAAAAACCGGTGCTAAACCAGAGAAACCATCGAAAATCAGCAAAGCAACTCCCAACAAAGAAGAAAACATTGAAGCGCTGTCCAAGTCGAAGATGCCAGGAACAAAAGATCAGAGCAGGAAAAGATTACTGCAACCGTCCGAAAAAAAAAAGAAGAGGAATGCTCCAGATAGGCAACAACTAAGTCTGGGGAAATCAGCGCCACACTAGCCAACATACCACCTGAAAAAGAAACAGAGCAGCAGCGAGCAGCCATCACTCAAACTTAGAACATCTACCATTGCACTTAGATCCTCTGAAGCATCTCTTCAAGGCATTGCATCCCTTATGATTTGTCCACTATTCCACCAGCAACAGACCACTCCACTACGTCCATGAGAGCCTTGCGTGCAACTACCTTTGCTTGCAAACGGACTTCTCTAAAGATTCTGTTATTTCGTTCAAGCCAAATCTGCCAGCATACGGAATGTAGAACACCATAGCGAATCCAGCTCTTCCCATCGTCCGTACAGTTTGTTGGCCACCTGGATATGACTTCAAAGATGTCCCTTACCGGAGTCTCTAGAGAGCCGCAAGCCCTCCTCAACCTGTCCCACACATCCTTATTGAACTTGCAATGAATGAAGATATGGTTGATCGTCTCCTCATCCTCGCTGCACATCTCACATATGTTCGCAAGAGACAAACTCCTTTTCTTGAGATTGTCGATGGTGAAAATGCGCTTGTGTGCCACAAGCCAAATGAAGGAGCATATTTTGGTTGGAACGATCAGCCTCCAAACAGAACCAACATGAAAGTTTGGAAGGCCCTTGTAAGCCTCACCCCTTAAACACCTGTACATGGAACGAACAGAAAATGAGTTTTTTGGGTTTGGTAACCATACTGGCCTAGAAGGTCCACACGGCACACATCCAAAACCACAACATATAACATAAGCATCTGGATATTCATATTTGAATTCAACAAATAACATCAACGTTTAATTTTCAAATTTAAAAAATATATTTTTTGTTAATTAAATTTACGATGTTATTATATTTTAAAATTGAAAATCTATTATATCAGTCATACCGAGAGCATTCCAGTAAACTTTGTAACGGTAACTATATATTCACTGGGGGCCAACTAGGTTGTTAATGAGTCGAGTTATTCGCTAGCTGTTCGGTATTCAACTCGATAAATCTCGTTCGATTCAAGAAAAGCTCGATTCGTTTATTAACGAGCTGAGTTTGAGCTAAGACTTGTTCAACTCATGAGGTTCGTGAATTAGTTCGATTCAGTGGTTTGTTGAGCTTAACTCATGCACTGTCTCGTTTTGAGCTCATGAGATGTCTCAACATTTTGAGTAGCGAGCCAATTCGACTATGAATTATGTGAAAATCGATCAATATCTTATGAGTTGGTTTGTTAATGATGCATTGATTTATTAAATTGTAATTTATCCTTTTTAATATTTTGAGTATGTGAGCAAATATGTCTCATTTATGACATGAGATCAGTTAATCACATGTATCATATATGACATATAAATATTAGAATATTTAATCTATAAATTATCTTAGAGTTAAGATCAAGCAGAACTTTTGATCCTAACAATGAGTCAAGATTTAGTAAATGAGCATACTCATGTTCGATTAATCTATAAATTATCTTAGAGTTAAGATCAAGCAGAACTTTTGATCCTAACAATGAGTCAAGATTTAGTAAATAAGCAGGGACGGGTTAGCATGCTAACCCCTTAAGGGGTTGGTTTTTTGACACCCCCCTTTTAATTGGTCAATTTTTCATTAATTATTGACAAGTATTAATGAAAGTAAACATAATAAATGTTCTGTTATTAAATACAAGTAAGCATTTAATACACCACATTAATTACCACTTTACTGGTATTTGTACCACTGCACTGATACTCAGATATGACATTGCTACCAGTGCACTGATATCGCTACCAGTGCAGTGGTATATCTACCAGTACAGTGGTACAACGTATTAGTGCGGTGGTATATCTACCAGTACAGTGGTACACCGTATCAGTGCAGTGGTATATTTTTTGGAGGTGGTCGGAGGGAGTCTGCCGATGAGATTTTCACCGGAGAAGTGTGGCGGTCGGAGGAAGTCTGGTGGTCGGAGACTGCTGAAAAAGGAAAAATCAAATATAGTGAGAGAATTCCTAATATGTATTTAATGTGTGTATTTAATTCCTAATGTGTATTTAATAGTGAGAGAATTCCTAATTAATATGATACATTTAATTCCTAATGTGTATTTAATGTGTGTATTAAATTCTATAGTTGTATTTAATATACTATGGAGGTATCATTTTTCCAACCCCTAAGGGGGGTTAGCATGCTAACCCACCCCTAAATAAGCATACTCATGTTCGATTCGACTCGACTCGACTCGTTAATAAATAAACGAACCATGCATTTTCCGCACTCGATTGCAAGTTCTAGAATTTAGGGGTGGTTGGAGTAATTATTCATTCATCCTTTAATTTTCTTAATCCGCTTTCCCCATTCCAGACCTTACGTCGCCGCCTTTCCTGCTTTCTGAACCTTGCGATGCCATAAACCGAAAAAAATAAACACCACCAAATACCGTGGAGGCAGAGAAGCAAAGGAGAGCGCACGGTGAAAGACAAATTAACAGAGTATCGTACGAGTTCACTTCTTTCCTTCTTCTTCCGCCGATAACTTTTTCTCGAGAAAGTGGTAGAAGACATGGACGACACTACGCCTGTGAATTGGGAAGCTCTGGACGCCCTCGTCGTCGATTTCGCCACATCCGAGACTTTGATTGAGCAGCAGCCGCAGGAGTCTCTGATGGATTCCCCTGCTTCGCCGTCATCTCCTCCATCCCCGTCGTCATCTTCCGTCTCCTCCTCCTCGTCGTCCTACCGTTCCAGGCTGATCATTCGCCAGATCAGGCGGTGCCTAGCGGCGGGGGATATTGACGCCGGAATCGACCTTCTCCGAGCTCACGCTCCTTCAGTGCTCGACGATCGCAGGGTTCTATTTCGCTTGCAGAAGCAGGTATGAAAGAAAATTTAGCTGCAGTTAGAGAATTTAGAAATTTGAATTGAAATGTTGTGCCTCTCGTCTTATTTTCCTGATATAGGGTCGCTTTGTCTTTTTGCCGTTTGGTTTGGGTTTGGATTTGGATGCTGAGGTAAGTGACGAGTTCTCTCGGTTTCAATTTTTGGGTTTTCAGAAATTCATCGAGTTGTTGAGGAAAGGGACGGAAGAGGGGAGAGATGCTGCAATTGATTGCATAAGGACGGCTCTTGCTCCCTGTGCGCTTGATGCTTATCCGGTGCTTACTTCGCCCTTTCTTATCCTTGCTTAAATAATTTCGTGAGCTGAGAAATGGGTATTAAATAGAGCTCTCGTGTTTATGTTTCTTTTTATTTAAGGGTTACTGTGCGTGGTGTTAGTTTCATACGATTGAAAGGGGAAAGCAATTACCTTTCCACTGGGATTGTGGTTTTGCTTTTAGGATTTTGGTCTGGGAACTTGGTGGCACTGAATGGAACGAGTATTGGAGTTCAGTCTAACTATAGTTGCCAAAGATGGCATTTTGTATATTTATGTTTCCAGTTGAAATGGGGGTTATAGAGAAAGGTGTCGATAGCCTACCCATTTGATACGTAAAGCTTTGCTTTTTGGCTGCTTGTGTCACTTCTTGAGTTCTTGTGTTGGTTTCTTGCTAAGAATTGCATTGTAACTTGTAGTGGATGCTCTCTTCCTTTTACCTTCGTCAGATATTGGGTTTGGTTTTCGTCTGAGGCTCAGGAGTGTAAACCTTCTGGAAGGGACCATCTCTCATTAGGCCTGTGATTGTCTTATTTTTAGCTACTTTTAGATAGAAGTACATTATTGAAGTAGAGAGGTCAGATACTTCTACTCATGTTTTTATCACTGCGTTATGCAACTTCTGCATACCATGTTGCACCAAATTCTCAATTTATAATAGTGCTGATTTGTCATTTTAAATTTGAAGTATACCGAATTGTTGTTGCATTCTTGTTCAGTTGCTTTTTGTATTATTCTTCTGGAGATATGCTTTGGCTTATCAATCTCTGCTGTTCACTGCGTGGGGTCTGATGATGTGTTATTTGATTGTTTAAGGAAGCATACGAGGAATTCAAGCATGTTCTCCTTGCCTTTATATATGACATAAATGATCAGAGTTCTCCTGTGGCAAATGAGGTGGGCCCTTTGCTATACTTTTCGACGAGTGACATTCTTTCTTGCATTAAGTTTTGTTTGCTTCAACTACGAATGAAATCATCTCCAGCCCCCTATAATGGATATGCAATGCATTTGTATACTGATGTTCACTATGTTACGTTTTGTTTACGCCTTTTAAAGTACGAAGTTTTCTTGCCTTTCATCAGCATACAAAGTGTTTTTTTTTTTTTTTTTTGCTTCCTGATCATGAAGATTAGGAAATTGTATTGACCTCTACTTTGTACAAGTGATATTTACCTTCTGCGTCTTTTATAAATCCAGCAATTATGTTGTTTCTTAGTCGTAGATATATTTATAGAATGTATATTTTCTCCTGTTATCTTTTTGACTGAAGAGGTTTTTCGATTTTGGCTGAAATTTGAGAAGAGCATCCTGATTCAGATATCAATGGCAGTTTCTTCCACCTGTTAGGCTTATGTATGATTGTCGGTGATGGTATTAAGTTTATCTTAAAGGTGAGGTAAAGAGAGAGAAAAGACTCCCTTGAAACTACCATTATACAGGAAACTTGGTATCTAATGTTTACCTTTTAACTACGAGCAGCCTTGGTTCACGAACCTTCAATTTTGCTCAAGCAAACAAAAGAAACAGAGTCACTTGGATATATCTCTGAGTATAGTATTACTGAACATTGACAAATTGTATGAGCTTTCTGCAAAGAATGCATCTATCGTTATATGATAACCAAGCTGTTGATCTTTCAGTGGTCTGAAAAGAGGAGGTGCGAAATTGCTGGGTTGATGACTTCCGTCTTAAGAGCTCATTTACAGGCATATGATCCAGTCTTTGCAATGTCATTGCGATATTTGATAAGGTTGCTATTTACAAGAGTCTTTGAAAGTCCTTTTGTGTTTGGTTGGTGAGAATGTCGGGAGGCATCATGAAAACTTCTGTTCATAACACTCTGTCTGGTGCAGCATACACAAAACTTTTTGCTTTCGTCAAGGAACCACATCTCCGATTTCAGATCTTACTGAGCGGTTGCTCATGGAGGAGCGTGATCCTCCAGCTGTACCACAGGAGAGCTTTTATGAGGCACCTCCCTTTGATGAGGTGAGTACTGTAAGACTTCCATTGCGTTTTCCTAGGAATGGTTTCGGAGATGACATATGGAAGAGTACCTACTGATATAGCATCCTAGGCGCCAACTAGTATAAATCAGAAATATCTCCAGAAACATCAGGGACTCAGGGTGCGGTGGTTGGTCAGTGGTCACATGGGAATCAAGATTTCCCTATGGCCAGCCATTTACTGTGTTATGCCACCACTTGTGGCAAAGCAATTTATTCACTGCCTTCGGCAGTTGACACCCTGGTTAAGACCAAAAGGAAATTTATCCGGACTATTGACTTGCCACTAATTAGTAATCAATAGTCACTTCGAGATTATTGTTGTGTAGCTTATGTGCTATTCTTAAGCAAACTGCTTTATCTAGGTGGACATTCAAGCTCTTGCACATGCTGTTGAGCTTACAAGGCAGGGAGCTGTTGATAGCTTGAGATTTGCTAAAGGAGACTTGTTTCAGGCGTTCCAGGTACACTGATTTTGTTGCAGACAGTAAAGTTGCATAAGTATTGCCTTGAATGGTTCCTTTGGGGCACTGAGGATTCAGATTGTCCTCTATCTTAAGCAATTGTAAATATGAGTATCGTAAAGTCTACTACTTTCATAGTTTGGTCGTGCTTGACATTATGGAGTCAGCATACCCTGTCAGGCGAGGGGAGAGAGAGACTTTTGGCTGCTCGTTGCCTGGTTGTCTATATTCACATTTTTAAGAAAATTTTGGCTTATGAACCTTCTAGTCTCTTTGCTCCTCTGAATATGTCCCTC